CTTGTGTAAACAATAGACGGCTAGGTGTTTCAAGCCAAGTGGAAAAACAGAATACGATTACACATGTACGTTTACAATTTCTCGGGACTGTAGACCAGGACCCTTGTGCTTGAGGCTATTGCGTTTAAGGGATTAATGGGTGTAATTGAGCCTTATTTATTAAGTCCGGTATACAAGTACACACAACGTCACACTGAGCATGTTAAAACAATCAGCAACACTTCCTAGGCTGGAACTGTCCATTAGCACACATTTATAATGAAGTTAGGTATTCCTTACATTACAGCAATATCAAAATTAATATTCAGCTAGGCAATCGTATAAAGTTAAAGACGTGTTCATTAATCAAGGGAAACAAACAAAAGCACTGCTGATTATTGAGCTTCTACTTGATGCATGTGTCTGACCCTTTAGGACTGTGGCAGGGACTTGAGTGGAATCTCATTTTGGGGCAGGGACTGTTCCGAATCCTTCAGTGTTGTCTAGAACCACTATGTGATGTTTTTGTGCTATGTCGAAAAATAATAATTAAGGAATAGGGTAAAAGGCAAATATATATATATATATATTATTGCAATATAAATGGGTAAGCCGTATTAGTCTAGTAGACAAGGGTGTCATAAATGTTAGACCTGGAAGTAAAAAATGCCTCCTGATAATCAAAAGACAGAAAAAATAAACGTAGGATGACAAATAAACCCTAAATAGATCAGATATATACATCATACTACTGCACTCCAGTAGGACATCACTTCTCCCAGGAGGATCACTCCATCCAAAGCCTCAATATTAAAGTACTAAAAGGGAATTTTAAAAAACTCATGAAAGGAAAACATTTGAGATGAAAATGATTTTACATTTCAACGCCATAAAGGAGGGACTTAATGTGGATTCTGGTTTTCTGACACACTGCCAGAACTTTTTATTCATATATATATAAACAGCCCAAGCAAATTCAAAATACTTTATAGAGAACACAAAAGCACAACAGTCCCTGTCCCAAAACCTACAGTAATGTCGCAGACACACGAAGGAAAACTCTTGGGGAAAGACAGTTAACCTATAGTAAATGTAAGTTTTCGAAAGTGAGAAAAAAATGAAATGTTAAATGTATGCAAATAAAGTTAGCAAGGAAAACAAAATAATGCACATCAAATGAATGTGTTGCCTGACTGATGGTTCTGCGTGAAGCCATCAGCCTGCATGCATCACTATGTAAGATGACAGTGATCACATGATCAGAAACGACTGATTGGCTTCCGGTAGGTGACAGAGAGCCAGTAGCCGAAGAAGCGAAGTGACGGCTGCTGGCTATAAAAGGAGAGGATGTTTATTAACAAATACCTGGCACTGGGCATTGTGCTAGGGAGCATTATTAAGTATTGTGGTCAGGAGGGGGTTAAATGAATATAGAGATGTTCCCCGCTTACCGACTTACCTGTTTTGCGACCACTCGCACCTACCACGGACCGCCGATCGACCTCCGACCTTGCGGGTCAGCGTCAGTGCGCCAGCAGAAGTGCTGTCCTCCGATCTTCACTGCGGGTCCCGGTAAGTATTTTCATTGCCCGATGTACAGTACACTGTTTGGTACTGTACAAAGGCAACGCTATACAGTACTGTACTAATGCAGTACAGTACTGTATAGAGTTCCTCACTTAACGACCAATCCGTTTAACGACCTGGTCGTAGGAACGGAACTCGGTCGTTAAGTGAGGAATACCTGTATACAAGTTTTGTACATTCTTTCTTCATTATAGCCAGGGAAAAAACACATTATTTTTAGTCAGGTACATATGACATTTTGCCTGATAACTTTACTCATGCTCATTTCAAGCCAGCAGGCAGTTTAGACCACTTTCCAGGTTTCACAGGCTTGCCATTTGCTTCTCTGATGATACAAGCTTGATGTTTACAGAACTCAATAGCTCAAGGAGAAATATTCTCACAGAAGTGTTAGTCTCAATCAGCAGTGACTCAACACTTACCCACTTACCAGACAACTCAATCTGATATTTTGATTAGACAAACTGTGCCCCTAAACAAGCAGCACCTGCAGTTCTGTCTCTTAAACAACCCATAGTGCTTATAGAAACCCCACGTCATGTGTATTGTATTAAATGTTTATAAGGAGCCTCCAAGTGCTCTTGCATTAAATTGTATTGTAATGTCTTGCTTTATTTTCTAAAGAGCGGTGGGCACTATATACATGTTAAACAAAGGCTGTATATACACACACAATATATATATAAATAATCAAACTTCAAAAGGAAAATCTCAGCAGGTGGAACTCTGGTCTTTTCACATTTTTCCTCTGAGTATCCATGGCTGCTTTGCTGCTAACAACTAATTGTTCACAGAGCTCAGCAGCACAAGCTGAAATTGACACACATCAGATCAGTGACTTTCCTCCCTCTCTTAAATAATCGAAGAAATCACAGGCACTGCAAAGTTAAGAACTTCATGTTCTCTATATTCACATAGTGGTCTCACAATGTGTGCCCCCCCACCCACTCACTCCCCGTGCCTTGTCAAGAGTTCACATTATAAACAAAGTTAAACACCTTCAGCTGTGCTCTCTCCTTATGAAACCCATAGTGCTCTGGTAATCCTTTGTATCATATTACCCAGTATTAAAAGTTAATTTACAACACAGATATTGCATAACATAAATATGTCAAAAGAGTAAGCTTAGAATAATATAAAACTTCCAAAAAACAAAACAGAAAATATGAGTACATCAGACTTTAATATTCAAAACTGTTTAGGCCCATTTTCTAATGATTCAAATTATTAAAGGGAAATAAAATGTTAATGATATTCAAGCATTACAACTTGATTGCATGCCCATGTATGCTAGAGTTACAAAGTAAATACACATCAGGATCCCTGTTGATATTTATTTTTTGACGTTTGTGTCTGCACACTGATGCTCACACAGCTGCACATTATTGCTTCCAGGCTGCATTTTGGCAGTTAATTCAATATCCATCCAGAAATCGGCTCTGGCTATAGAGAAATAATTCCTTTACATCTGAAAAACTTGTGATGTCACCTCTCACACAGCTGTTGTTTGTTATAATTGCCTAATAATAAGAGTTTCTTTCACCTTTCTTGTCCTATTCCCACAATCCTGTCCTCTAGCCACCGACGTTGCTCTCATTCCTCAGAATTTCACTTAGTCTTCTTCTCATATGACACCTACTGCCAGAGGACGTTTAATCAGAAACTTCACATCTATTGCTCTTATTTTCAGTGCTTGTAATCTTTAGAGACATATCCTTTTACCCTGATCTCATCCAATCTGAGAGTTGCTGACAACACTCACAGACCACTGCCAGTTCTAACCATACTTCACATAGTTTGTAGTACCCATAATAACCATTTAACAAGGTATCACCAATCCTTACGTCCTCCAATCCACTCGGCTTACAGGGTAGACACCAAGCCTAAATCTTCTGCCATAGTATGCTAAAGCAGGGGCCCGTTTACCATTCCTAAAGAGAATTCCATGGATACAGCAAAACTACTCATCAACTCACTTCACTTATCTCTCGTCTTAACTGTTGCAACTCCCTCTGCATTGGCTTACCTCTACACAGGTTATCCTCCCTTCAGTCTATCATGAATGCTGCTGCTAGACTCCAACCCCCCTCTGCCAATCCCTGCACCGGCTTCCAATAACCCAAAAGGATAAAATTCAAAATATTAACAAGTTACAAACCCATCCACAACTCTGCCCCCGGCTATATCTCCAACCTTGTCTCAAAGAATCACCATAACAACCCCCTTCGCTCTTCCAAAGACCTCCTGCTTTACAGCTTCCTCGTCAACCCCTCCCATGCTCGCCTCCAGGACTTCTCTAGAGTCTCTCCCATCCTCTGGAACTCTTTACCCTAACCTGTCCAGTTATCTCCCACTAAGACTGCCTTTAAGCAATCACTTAAGACTCATCCCTTCAGGGAAGCCCATCACGCTTCAAACTAACCACTGTACCATCACGTTATCAAACAACTCATCCCCACACAGCTACCTCCTCATGCATCACACGCCCCTCCCTTTTAGATTGTGGGCCCTCCTTACCATCTTGTCTTGAATTGTATTGCAATGTCTTTCTTATATTGTAAAGCGCTTCACAAACAGTTGGCGCTATATAAATCCTGAATAATAGTAATACAGCAGCAGCATTACATTACAGCCAAAAAACAAAACAATCTTTCATTGACAATTATTTTACCCTAATAAGTGTCATATCTGACTGCAAAGGACGTTGCCTCATGCTGTGTTTTAGTTCACACAACTTCTTAAGACTCTGAGTACAATTCTAATCTTATTTAACCCCACTGCTGAGTACAGCCTCTGTTGCAGATTACCGACATACTCTTCTGCCAACTGGAAACCCTACACTTGATAGAGAAAAACAAATATTAAAGGACTGTCTATGTGGATGTTACATTTATGAAACTATTTAAAAGTTATTTAGCTTACAACAATGCAATATGGTTTTGGTATACAAATTCCAACCCAGATTAAGTGAATACCCAATGAATAAACCATTGATGTGAATTTGAGAATTAAAAAAATGTTTTAAAGTAAATCAGAAGACAGAACGCAAGATAAGTGTGGTAACTCTGCAATCATAAAATAAAAAAAAATTGTTATCCTCACAAAAAAAGCCACTGTGTATGCTCAAACTTGGGTTTTAACACTAATGCTGACATTTATTCAGATTTGGAACAATGCTTGCAGCTCCTTTTTATCCACAAGTACATGCCCCTTCTTTTTATGCCAGGTTTGCATATTAATGCACACATGGAAAGCACTGAAAGCCACAATAGTGGTGTTAGGATTATGTGATGCCTGGTAATACCAGAGCATATAAAAAAAAAAAAAAAGGAAAACAAAGTAAATGGAGGAAAAAATGCAGCATGTATATAGTTACTTACAAAACACAATTTAGACAGCGTGACAGATACCTCAGACATGTGAATAATACTTACTGCCCATGTCTTGGTTAGCCGGAAGATGGGAGCACTCTGTAACCCAGATACCACAGCCATTAATGCATGAAGGTTGTTCAGCTCGTAGAGTTTCTGCACAATAAACAGACATATCAAATGCCAATAGTAAAAAGTCATCAAAAATGCTATATTCCAATGATATTAATTTAATGTACCTATCTACCTTCAGCTTCACAAACCACCTTAAACATGGTTGTCTAAAATCAAACAAACTTTAAATTAAAAGAATCATCACACATTTTAAAGGGTCAAGGCATTTAATACTGATAAGTTATTATTGGATAGTGGAGAGGTGATGCAGAACACCGATTCCTTTATTGCTCTGGGACAACAGTGGACAGATGTCTTTACTGTATTCTCAGATCTGCTTGCTCCTGCATGGGAGTGCAGCAGATGGAATCTCATTCCAATAAAGGAAAAATGCAGCAAGGCCTGTTAGTCTTCCTTCTAATGGATGAGCTCTGGCAATTACAAGAATTTGCTAGAGAATTAAATTGGATACCATCCATCCAGGAACTGGGGTTCAGACATTTCATACTTCATATGTTCATAAAATATAATGCACCAAAAACAAGCACTCCTTAAAACACAAATTCAGAGATTGTATCCACTGCTTGTTCGCTCTGCAGCCACTGCACAGCTGCATGTACACCAGCAAAATCTAATTGCAGAAAAATAATGTGGTCACAACACTACACCTTAAATACTGAGATGGTCAGACAACGATTAAGGGCCCAGTCACACCTTTGCGTCAAGTTATTTGCAGGGTACCATGTGATTAACACATGCAATCACACAATGCACCTATTATGAGTTAGTGCGGCAGGTACTTTGCGATTCATTTGAATGGATCAATGCACCTCCTAGCCGCAGTAACGGCTATTTCGTGCATTGTGCTGGAAAAATGTAGTGCATGCACTACTTTTTTCCACCGCACCACAACACAGTATTGAGTTGCAGCAGAGTGCGTCCAGGGGGTGCCATTCAAAATAGCAACGCACCTGTCGCACTGTAATGTATGATAGGTATTGTGCATTAGCGTGCAATTAACGTGAACAGGCGCAAAAGGATATTTGCGCCCCCTTCTTTGAGCCTCCAACAATATGAGTAAAAGTCTTTGTCTATGGGCTTTTGCGTGCTTCAAGTAGGCTTTACATTCCATAAAAGGGGGATGCAAAAGCCCCTTAAAAGTGGATCAAATGCAGGTCAGAGGTAGATCAACTGCAGGTCAAGCACTGGTCAGTAAATTCTGAATTACACAAACCCAAAGCATAGTACTTGCAACTAGGTAATTATCTTCTGTACCTGGCTTTCCCTGGGCTGAAGCAATGTCTTTCAGCACCAGCATCTCTTTTGAATCCAAAAATGATGGTGGGTTAAGGACAGTCCTGCCACAGAGAATGGCATCTGACTAGTACATGAGCAGAGCTAATATTGGGAAGACATGTCCTTATCCCACTGCATTAGCAGGATTCAAATAGAGGTGCAAAAGATCTGAGCCGATAAACACTGACTGGCCCCTGGCAAGCAAGGGCCTGAACAGAGGTGCTGGCTGCAACTTGCATTTTTGCTTCAGATGTTTGGGGGATTTAGATTTTTCGGTTTAAGGCACCCTTATCCTTTAATAGACTCAGATGGCTGTTAATAACTAGGCTCACCTCCAACTCTGGGATTTGGATTCTGTTGTGGATACACACTTCAAATCCTTCTCACAAATGCCTCCTGTTTAACGGTGCCCCAGAGTTACCGGACTCACAGTGCGCCTGGAAGTATTTAATGGAGAGGCACAGAGCTGCCAAATGAAGTGTCAGGAATAAATATTTATCTGTGGGTGTGATCATTCTGTACTGAGCTATGTGCTGCCTGTACCTTACATTAAACATTGTGGAGAAAGCACTGCTGACAAGTCTCACCTTGGCAGTTTTAATGTAATGGCTCAAAACTTCAGCACGTATCTTTAGTGTTTGCGCATGAAGGATCTCTCTCACTACCCAAAAACTCACCTGTGGAAAAAAAAAAGAAAGAAAATACAGATGAAAGTGGGTTGAACAATTGTAAGGAGCTGTTATGGGTATAAGCTGGCGTTCAATGAGCCCTTTGAGAGGAAGGCTTTGCTTTAGGTTCACTTTGTCTAGCGGGGAAGCAGATGGCTGCAGGTCAGACTAGCAGCTGAAAATCCTTTTCACAGTACATTACACCTCCATAGTAGCATGACCCCCTCCACTCTCTTCACATATAAAATGTCCAGAAACTGGGGGTGGTCAGGAATCCAGGAAGGTAAATGGCGAATGGTCTGACTATACTAACATTAACTGGTTACTTCCTGTCTTGGTTTGAAGTTAATAATTAACATTTGTTGAAATGGTTGGTTTCTCTCTACAAATACATAAAGTTAGGTTTGTCCAGGCTGGCTTAAACAAGTAGCTAAAGTGCACTTAACGGGCGACTTTTCGGGCTCACGGCAGTAGCCGGAGCGTTTATTTTGTTTTCTGTGCTACCGCCAATGACAGCAACGGTAGAACTATGCAAAAACCTACACATACATTTCAGTCTCCAGTTGCCAAATAGCACTTAAAAACACCAAGGATAAGATTAGTATTTATTATTAGGGCAGGAGGAAAATAAACAGACAATTATATGTTATTTTTGATCATACACCAAATGACAATTCTATTTATATTTAGTTTAGAAAGACTATACTTCAGTTGGTTACTTGGTCCTAAGTTTTCATTGTAGTGAAAGATTTCTGCATCTGGTACATTTTTATGGCTAACAAACAAGTCACCCCAACAATGTTTGCATTTGAAATGACAGAGGCAAGTATCATTTATGATTTAGGTGTGCGTTGTATTCATGAGAGTGCTGGCCTTTCTGATGTGAAAGCCCAGTACTATAGTTATAATTCGTGCTACACTAGTTAAAGCTCAACTCCATTCCCATTTCTTCTGCAGGCATCACAAAGACAGAAAGTGAGATAATACTTCATCAATGAGATCACAGACAGAGATGAAAACCGAAGTGTAACTCTTCCCCAACACTATATACAAAAAACAAAAAAAAAGTTGATTTAGGCTTCAAGATGTTTGAAGCTTTGCCAACAAATGCTTTTCCTCTAAGGCCATGGTGGGGGTGTATTTTATTTGTGCAGGTTTAGTGTGGGGAAGGGTGGGGGTGGGGGGTGTATTTTTGTGTGTATATTAGGCCCCATTCACACCTATATTTCAGGTGCGATTGGGGATTCCTGTGTCACAAACTTGCGTTTTCCTGCAGCAGGAATCCCTAATCTGGCGTTTACATGCAGCAACTGTCACCCATTCAAGTTAATGATCAGGTGACAGCTGCTGCATGTAAACGCCTACATACCGCATGTAATTGTATGCGATATGATTACATGCAGTTACAAAAACAATCACAATCCCTGGATACACAATTATGTATCCAGGGATAGTGACAGATTCCTAACTGCATGTAAACTGCACGCCGCAGCCGGGATGGATCCCGACATTACTAGAGGCAGAGCCAGCTGTACCCGCCCCCTCCCGTTCCGCCAGCTGGAGGATCGGACAGGGGGGGTGGCGACAGTTACGGCTCTCTGCAGGGACAGGATCGAGAAGTGAGCGAGCGACAGTATGTGTTTGCTCACTTCCCGATCTATTGGGCCGACGTGTGACAGTTTCATTGTCACAGGTCGGCTAGAACTATGAGGCTGAGTGATTTTTACTCGCCTTGTAGTTCTCCTTTACGTGGGTTTAAACTTCACGATATCTTGTGTAGCTGTGGCAGAATTTATTGGTGACGGTATCCGCATTATCAAAGCAAGTCAACTTACTCTATGGGTTTAACATTTTGCTTTGTTGGAGCCTTATCCAGTCTTGCTGAATGGACCTTGTAACATTAGCATAGGTATTCTGGATAGCATTAGCAGTCAGTTATTGCCCGGCATTGAGTCACTGTCATCCCATTATTATGCAATTAAAATGGAATCTCTAAAAAGTATGAACTAGCGGAGGGAGAAGGAAATTTACAGAATGCCTTAAACATCACCAGGATCTGTCGGCATCTTCCACAACATCAGTTTAACAAATTTTCCATTGACAGCTGTGAGCTGAGTAGACACAATATCAGCAGGCTGACTGGCCCCAAAAGTGTCTACAACTACTTGCCCCAGCGTCCTTGCATAGTGAAGTTTTGCTATGCACTATGCCAATTTGAATTTCTGCATCACTAATTTATTCACAGACAGTTGGTCTTCCAGCTGAAAATACCACTTACTATCCTATTTATGTTTTAATGTTTAACACCATTATCAATGTAGCTCATAACGGACACAGAAGAATGTGACACTCCCCAGAGGGATAATTACATTATCCCTACCTCTGACGCAGATACCTTCACTTTATGAAGGAGCATTTATACAGCTTTACCATAAAACTATTGATGTACTGTGTACGTCATGGCTGGTTATGGAAACGATCTGGAATCCTTCAGCCAAAAATGTCCAATCACCTCTTTTCATCAGCTCCTATAGACTGGATATTCAGATCTCCCTCTTACCCCACAAATATAAAAGTTTAAGTTAAATAACTGGTGTTGTTTTTGGAAGCAAAACCTTTAAAAACAGGAATGGTAATTTCCTGAATGAAAAAAGAAGTCTGGCCGCTGCAGAAGCCTCCCCACTCGCCTCCCATCTGCGCAGAGGAAAAAAAACTTACTTTGTGAGAAGGAGCCCAGCTCGAGGCCCCCAGTGACTGATGGAGTCATAGTATGGAGCCATCTCTCATCTAACAATTACAAATGTAAACTTGTACCTTGTCAGACTTGACACCCGCATTAAGTACCATAATATATATGTTGAGAGATTGTGCTCTATACATCTTAATATTTCTCCAAGCATTAAAGAATATGCCTCTCTGGGCTCTGGGAATCCAAATGAATAATCACCGGGCGAATTTACAAAAGCTGAAGCAACAAAGACTTCCATAATTCAACTTTTTATTGAAGAAATAATAAACTGGATTTGATGGTATAAGTATTAGTTTTATTTCATGAAAAGAGAAGCCAGATAGATTTTTTTTTTTTACCAATAAAAACTTGACAGATATTGCAGATATTGTAACCCTTCCACACACTATCAAGAACTGTGAACAAAAAAAAAAAAACACAGTCTTTACATACACTAAGAAAATAATTATTTCTCTTCGGACACACTTTACTACTAACAGCCAGCAAAGCTATATGTACAAATTGGTTTAAGCAACGCGCACATAATTGACAAATTAACAAAAAATAATTCACTAAACAGGACTCACTTGGTTAAATCGTCTAGTGAAGGCCACAGCGTTTGGTGCAGAACTGTACTTTTCCTTTTTGTTCCATCCACAGCTTGATAATTCCTAAAATCCATCATAAGAATAAAAAAAAAAACGCAACTGGTCAATGACAAAACTCTGAATAATTTTCATGGTATGGTCTTTCAAGTTACCAAGACCTTAAAAGAGAACTATGGGGTAACCTTTTTTCCCCATAGCTCTCTTTGGGATCACAGGAGGACACATACTAACCTCCTCCCATCCCCCAAAATTCTGCATATTGCCCGCTAAGTGATGAGAGCGCCGCAGCTGGGACGAATCCCGACAAAACAGTCAAGATCCACCTGCTGGATGATTCACAGCGGGTTCTGCCTCTCTAGAGGCAGAGCCAGCTGTGCTTGCCCCCTCCCCTGACCATCCCTCCAGTCAGCACTGGAAGATCAGAGAGGGGAGAGGGGGGGACTTCTGCAGGGAGATGATTGCGAAAGTGAGCGTGCGGCTCACTTCCAGATCGATAGAGCCGATCTGTTACAGTTTTAATGCCACACGTCGGCTCTAACTATGGGAATGAGTGTAACTCACCCCATAGTTCTCCTTTAAGTTAACCACAGACAAGAGTAGGTAAAAAGCCTGTTGTGGAAGCAATATTTCATCCCCAATAGATGTTGCATAAACAAACTCCTATTTTTTTACTGAGTAATCCAGTGAAGATCAGCCACTATACCAAAAAAAAAAAAAACTGATACTTTGAACACCAGCCAATCAGATACTAAAGCTGCATCACTGAGTAGCTATGAGTCTACCACTTTTAGGAGAGATACTTTTGGAACCCAAGAAACTCACTGCTTTTATTGGAATCCTGAGGCCACACTGCCTCTGTGCAAGTCAAGAATGCACCAAAAGCTGAACATCTCTACAAGCATTAGCAATCTTGGAGCTGTCTAGGGGTGCAGCCAACGATTATTTTCATAATCGATTAGATGGCGATTATTTTTTCAACTAATCAATTGGTTATATAAAAGTTAGTTGCCAACTATTCTCATAATCGATTTAATTGATTAGTTGTTGCAGCCCTAGAGCTGTCCCTTGGCACTGTGAAAACTGCTGGTAGGTAGGAATTCAAGGAAGGAAAACACCTGCTATTCAGCATATTGGTAACCTACAGGCAGGTTTTACTTTTAGGACTATCTTATTAAAGGGTTTTCTCACCTTAACCAAATAATTTTCTAAGGTACACCATTGAAAAGAAGAAGTCTTTTTTTTAGGGGTAACCTTTTTTCCCATCCTCCCATCCCCCAAAATTCTGCATATTGCCCGCTAAATGATGAGAGCGCCGCTCTGATTAAAATTTTCCTGTTCGATTAATCGAAAAATGTTTAATCGATTAATCGACTAATTTCGATTAAATATAATGCACTTCTGAGGGGGTCTCACCAGGGCTCTGAGGGTCTAACAAGGCTAGTTCAACCCCACAGAGCCCTGCTACCCTGATGAGACCCCCTCAGAGCCATGGTGAGACCAGGGCTCTGTGGGGTAGCAGGGCTTTTACAGGGTAGCAGGGCTCTGTGGGGCCTCACCAGAGCTTTGAGGGGGCCTCACCAGGGTAGCAGGGCTCTGTGGGGCCTCACCAGAGCTTTGAGGGGGCCTCACCAGGGTAGCAGGGCTTTTACATTTTACTGTTTTACATGATACATATTATTTGTCTGCCTTGTACAAACATGTGATGACTCACCAGCCCAAGAGTGAGGAGGAGACTCAACAGCCCAAGTGATTCCGTCAGGTAACGAAGGGAAGGGGGAGGAGTCTGTCCGTGACATCACCGGACTCCTCCCTCCTTACCTTCGTTACCCATCACGGACAACTTCATCACCCGACTCCTTCCCCCCTTCCCTTCGTTGGCCGACAAAGCCACTCGGGGAAGGGGGGAGGAGTCCGGTGACGTCGATGTCCGTGACGTCACCGGATCTCCGACGGAAGACCCGGAAGCCGGCGGAGAGGTGAGTAACTTTGATCGATCAAAATAATTGTGATCGATCAAACAAATTAACGATTAATCGACGGATTAATCGTTAATTTCCAGACCCCTACTTTTTTTTTTGTATATATGTAGACAAAAGAAGAGGATAAATGAAAACCACCAAGGTGCAGCTTAAATGCAAGAAAATATTCTATTTCAGCTTTTCATTAACTCGGAAGATAAGTGCCATAAAACGAAGCAGCAAAACACATAAAACAAAAGCCAATTAATAGAAAACTGAGTAATCCCCCATGATGGCTAAGGAATATTTATAGCTGGACAAAGATCTAATTATTGTGGGACGGGGTCCAATGTGCTGAATAAAACAGATCTCAAACAAGGATCTATCGTAAGGAAAAACTCCTACAGTCTGAGGAAAGACAAACAGACAGACGAAGCACTTAAGTTTCGTCTACCAATAAGTGATATTTTAGTCATAGGTCCCTGGTGGCATGCGCCCACCATACCTGATGGTTTCATTCGTCTCCCAATTGCCAGATCTCTCTGCTATGTTTTTAAAAGTTATTTTCTCGCTCAGAAATTGGTGTTCCCACACCTCCTGTTACATACTTCATTGCAAAACAACAAATACAAAAGGGAAGATAGATACCCCTTGTAATGGCCATGGCAGGTATGGAAACACAAGCACAGAGATCTCACCACCAGAGTGTCTCAGAGATACAATAAACCATTGGACTGTTTAACTCTCCAGCTTCTATCAAATACTGAAATATCAGTTTTGGGTAGACTGACCCTTGAAATCTCTTTAACAGCAGAGGTTGACTTATTTGGTAACAATGGTATCCATGGGAGCCTGGAAACTCTGATCTTGAGGAGATGACTGATGATTTATAACGATGAGGGAAATGAAGTATAGATTACCGTGCAGAGGAGAAATTCATCTTCTCAGCTGCACAAGTGAGCCAAATTTTTTTTCCAAACTAAATTTGTAAAATAAACATCACCGCTGCTCAAATTCTTAACTTTGGGGAATAGCTCAAGGTAACCAGCTCACAACATGCTGCTTAACCCATTAGATGACTAGATAGAAGCAAAGATGGATGCTCTAAAATAAAGACATCTGTAAATGTTTAACGTACCTAATGGCAAGGTTTTTTGGTGTTTTGGATAGAGTAGGGAAAGATTAGAGCCTCTTTATTTTTATTGCGGTCTGTTCTTTCTGGGCAGATTTATCCCTCCATTTACCCTGGCAGCCACTGTTGCCCAAACAGAAGTGAGGAGACATCCAAAATGATAAACCTGTCACCAGAAGATGTGGGGTAAAGTCACCCAATGGAGACACCTGTTTTGGTGACAAATGTATAAGAGGGGAATCCACCTACTTTACGGATATTTCCTCCCATTTCCTGTTACATCTAGGAGACAGAAAGTGAAGATAAATCTCCCCAACAGGATGCATAAGGGAGGAATAAACCGACATGGTTTTACCCCTTCCCTACTCTAGCCAAAACTAAAAAATGCTTTGGATATACATACAATTAAAACAAATATTATACCGGCACAACAACAGTCAGAGCAAAGAAAAACACATCCACACTTAAGTATTTAAAAAGACGACACATGAACCCTAAGAATACAGATTTTGGGAATAAAGAGAGAAATGGTACAGGGTACAACACACAAATTCCAGCACACTTAGAAAACTTTCCTTACTTTTAGAAATGTTTCCCTTTATAGACAAGAGGCTCTATAAATCACATTGACACCTAAGGGTGTATTTAAAATGGAATTTCCTATGCTCCTTGGCTCCATCTAGTGACCATAATACAGTGCGAATGTAAAAGTCTGAATGAACGGGTCTGCAAATGTTTAATAAATACACCCTTCCAGTGATCCAGCCAAACATTTATTGAATTCATGTTAAACAATACAAAACACTAGGGATGTTCAGATACCAGTGCCGATACTTGGCATTTTCATGAGAACTACCAGGGTTGCAGCTGGACCTAGCCCTGGCTCTCCACCACTGTCGTGAAATCATTAGTCTGTATTGTTTTAGAGAAACTGTCACATGACAACAAAAATGTATCAGTACTCGTACTAGCAAAAATGGTATCGGTGCATCCCTAATATATATTTAAAAAAAAAAAAATCATGCATTAAAACAGGGATGTACAAATCCCAGGAGCTTCAAAAGTTCCTTAAAAATGACAGCTGCCTCCTAACTTTTGAATTTTTCTCTAGTCTAGTCTTGGAGCTGGAAAAGTTACTGTACTTGTACAGAGTACTGTACTTGGTATCTGAACATCCCTACAAAACACAGTTTCAATGTCGGGTTTCTATTGCTGTCTTATCCAGCTCACACTTATTTCCCTCATTTCATGTCCTAGTGACACAGGATCAGGAATTTGGAAAAATAAATGATCTGTGAAGGCCAAGACCGCAAAACCTCAAAAGACATTACTTGTTTTCACTTATTCCTAAACAAACAAAAAACTATTTGACTAAAGTTGGGTTTAATGAGACCGTGTCAGCAACATAAAGCAACTGCAGGTAAAAGAACAGAATCAAGTAATTGATATTCTAAGTGACAGCGTTTTTTTCTTTCCATACACATTTGTTTCGACTTGCAATGTGCATCTGAGATAGCATATTTGACTACTTCAGGAAGAATCAATTCCCTAGCACTGCCCCCTACCTCAGATGCCATAGCCCTCTTTTCCAGAAATGTTAAATTACTGTCTGTGTTGGCCAAGGTCCTCTGCCCTTGCCCTCCATACATAAGCTTTTATGTAGCAGTCAGGGGAGGAGCAGAGTGCTTGAACAGCTCCGAGTACAAACCTCCCTCACTGAATTCTACTTATTAGGCGATTACAAAAGACTAATATCAAAATAGATGTCAGTGACTTACATTAGTTTTATTAAAAATGTATGATTTGTAGAACATCCACTACTGCAGCTCCAGTTCTGTTCAGTTCTAGGCCTCATGCCATTCTTTAGTTGATAAACTACAGAGCAATTGGATACATGCTACAGAATATTTTTTAGAACGGTTGGACAGGAAATTATTACTGCAGGCAATACTCTGAGAGTAACTTCCATTAGGCTTCTGACTTTATATGGTAAAACAGCTTATGGTGACAGCCAAGGATACAACAGGATGCGTGTATCAGGATGATAGACTGGACTCAGCTGTACAGGATGACAGCAATTTATCTTTAAGAATGTAAAACGATCTACAAGACAATTAACACAGCTGCACTCAAGGGTAGAAGGGACATTCTATCCATAGAATAATGGTTTATTCACGCTATAGCAAATGCAGCAGTGCATAATACACAACGTGAGCTACCACACATTTTTAAGATTACTGAGCTATTAAACTGACCTGAAGAAGAAACATAGGGTAACAACCAAAAAGGCAGCAGGTTGGCTTTTCTTTTTCTTTGCACATATAGGGGAAGGCCTACCATTGGAATATATTTCTGCATTATCTGGTAACGTTCTTGCAAAATAGAGAACAAAGCCAAGGCATAAAGGATTACAGTTTTGCCAAATTTTCCAAACCTGAGAAAGCATTAGTGTTTACTGTAAAAAATCGGAAACATTAATTTTGTGCAAACGGCCTGGTCGTGGAATGCACAATGTTTACATCCTTGAGCGCTCCTATATTATAAATACAGTAGAAAGCCTACTGGGATCTAAGTAAAGTAGCTAGGGCTCTGAATCAGGCTGCCTACTATTACCCCACCCATTCCCTCTCCTCTGGAAGCGGATGTCCACCCATACTGAATGTGTAGGGAGGGTGGGAAAATGCAAGGAATACACCAGTCACGTACAGGTCTTATAATGCTAAGCACTGACTGTAAATAGAATAATTTTTTACTAGGGATGTCCCAATACCGATACTAGTATTGGGGCCGATACAGGGCATTTACATGAGTAAATGTGAAAATGCCCCAATACATAGCGCCGATGACGCTGCTTTAAATTTTTATATAGCTGCGGGCTGCTTGTACAAGTGATCCGCCTGCTCGTCAGTCCTCCCCGCCACCTCCCATACAGGGTACGCCCTCCAAGGTCTGTGCCCCCCCCCCCGCGCCGTGGTTTTTGGGCTTCCCCACTCTTCTGGGGGACTGTGGCAAAGCATTCGGGATAGAGAGCGTAAAGCAGAGCGGAGAACTACCGTTCTCCGTCTGCTCTGTGATCAGTGACACAGGAGCGCTGTACTCGCAGCATTTCCGGTGTGTCAGCTGTCACATGTGGAGCTATAAAGAAGATACAGCACAATGCTTTGCTGTATTTACTGGATTGGAGGGCAGGCTCATAAAGAGAGCCTGTCACCTCCGAATGATATCACACAGGGACTTGATATCCCCTTTGTGATATCAATAAAGTTAAGTTAAAAAAAAAGTAAGTGATAAAAGGTAAAAATAAATACAAAACAAAGTTGCAGGCGTAGGGCATTGTGTGTGTGCGCCGAGTGCTGCCCTTATTCCGTGCCATATTGGGGTAGTGGGGCAGCAGCGCTCTCCAACATGCACATTAAAGGGGAAGTTCACTTTCCCAAGTAATTTAAGCATCCTTAAGAGGAGGGCATGAATTTGATCTAAAGAAAGAATTCAGTAGACATACAGTATAACTTAAAAATAACTTTGGAACTTTTAGGAAATTATGACAGTGTCATTCTGCAACAGTGGCTGAGACACTAACTACATTCTTCCATGTACTTGCATTTTAAAAGCCTACAGATAAAACCAAGAATGACAGAAGTAAGACAATAGCTGAAAGGTGCAATTAAATCTGCTATCAGAGGAGCTACTGAGAATTAATTAGTTTTGGCAAGACCAATATAATTTAACTGAGCACTTGAAAGTCATCTGGAGAGTGGCATGTAAGATTCAGCAGTCAACACGCAACAGCGAGTGTATGAAGACAAGTCATTTAAGAGTGATGGTGTTAATATGAGAACGAGTCATTCTTACGGATTTATGTCTTAACAATTACTTGTGGGCTTCTCAGAACTGCACCAGCAAACGTAATTAGACCAAAGAGGTAAGATTTCTGCACTGCCATTCCTATGGATAGTTCAGATTGTGGAGTGTCACTTTATATCTATGTCTTTTTAGTAAAATTGGAAAGAAAAAAAAAGTGCCCTTACTATTAAGACTCTTCACTCAACAATGCTAAGTGCCAAGGAGGGTAGCGCAACTCTAACAGCCCTTACAGAGCGAAAGCATTGTACAGCCCTTCACATGCCTCTGTATTACAGATGCTAATAAAACAATTGTATGCATCTGTCCCAACACTGTAGACCAAATTAACACTTTCTATCACTGTCTGTCACTAAATAAATACTGCCCTGATACAGAGGTTGTGATAACAGCAACGTACCCTATACCCTATCCTTAAAGAGACCCTGTCATAAGACCATTTATTTCTAAAAAAATCTTCCCAGAAGATTTGTGCATTTAAACGTCCGCAGCAGCTACATAAATGGATATTTAGGGAGGTGAGATGGGCAGAGGAGCTAGGACAGCACAGAGTGTTTAAACAGAAAAGGAGAGGACTATGATGTGCAACGGAGGGAGGTGCCGTGCTAGGGAATAGACTCCCCTGAGGCAGTCAAATTTTCTAGCCAATTTAAAAAGGTACATTACAAGGAATAACAATTTATGGAAAAAATTGCTCCAAAAGTTATTTGCTATACTTGATTTTTTTAATTTAAGTTGGTGACAGGGTCTATAACAAAAGAAACAAATGTGGTTGCTACATCTAATGTGTGCTTGGCCTTAGTTATTTTTGTGACCACTGTTACTAAGTACACAAACTTTGCCATACACCTATAGATGATCTGCAGATTTTCTATGGTCAGATGGAAAAAGTGCAAAAGATTATTCCATTTACGCTAAACTGTGTAGATGGAGGAATCTCTTGCTGGGCCAAGCTTCAGTATCTTGCTAGTCAGCCCCGCTGGCTCTCAAACTACCTGAACAATCTGATTGGATGCCGGCATTGTTCAGGTATTTTGAGAGCCAGCGAGGCTGACTAGCAAGATACTGAAGCTTGGCCCAGGGGGAGATTCCTCCATCCAGACAGTATAGCCATAGATGGAGGGATCTGTTGCACTTTCTCCCATCCTACCATAGAAAATCTGCAGAAAACCTATAGGTGTATGGCCAGCTTTAGGGCATCTTTGTTGTGACTTATAAGCTGCCTGTAGCTGTATCACTGAACTACCCGAGCACCGATGATTTTAGGCTTGAGGGAACCTGTCAAGATAGAAATAGGGAAGCCAGTATCTCTAACCTGTTTCTGAAGTAGCTTCACTGGAAAAAACAACGATGTAAAGAAAACCTCTCACCCCTAGTCCACTAATCTAATTTCATCTTACAACTCAAATCTCTTTCAGGCTTTTTTCCCCTCTTTCCTCTATCAGCCTACTATTTGTGACTGATACTTTACTGTTCCTCAACTTCTCCTCAAATCCTGCCATCACATGACTCTTGTGGTACAAATAAACATAACCATTTGATTAGTTATTAAGCAATTTTAGGATAAGTGTTACCCCTTCCAATAACCATTACTTACTTGGTCAATAGGATTCCTTACTAAAGAAAATATGCAATTTGCATAAACAAGTAACAACTCCCCAACAATAATACAGTATATGCTGTACCACTGTGCTACATTGTAGGTGTAATTACGTTCAAAGCTCCTAATATTGGAAAGAAGCAGCTTCACAACTTCTTTAGTTCCTGACCTGGAACCAGCAGTTGTCGTCAGGACTACTGATGCACACATGCTGGTTCCAGAAAAGTGTCTCGCCAAGTAGTGACACAAGGATAATGATGCCTGTACGAGGCATCTTCAAAAACAACAATGGCAGCTCCCATATTTTTAAAAGTGGCATGTCTACTTTTTGGTGGACCTCCCATTACAAAGTCCGCTTTTTTGCCAGCCCCCTGCCCGCCAACAGAAATGGTTTTAAATAGCGATTTGTAAACAAAACTAAATCGCCCGGTAGGAATTTAAAAAAAAACAAAAAACCCCAAAAACCTTTCCCTGCCTTCGATGCTTTTGGGAGGCATGGATGACATCACTGTGCCTCATGACATAGCTGGGAGCTCAAATTTCCACAAGAATGCACTCCAGCAATGAGCTGGAGTGCATCCTCGTGGGATTTCAAGCTTCAAGACTTGTCAGAAGGCATGGTGACTTCATTCATGCCTCTTGGAAGCGTAAAAATCCAGGGCCAATGTACTTTTTTTTGTGATCAGTTTGTTAACAAAATGGCCTTTTTAAAGTGGCTGGCAAAATAAGCAGACCTTCCATTTGTCACAGAATGTCAGCTTTAAAGATTAAGCAAATAAGAAGCACCAGGTCTCCATTACGGCATACTTGGATTTTTACGAGTTTAAAGGATAAGGAGAAAGAATGGTGTGATGTCAAACTATGGAAAAAAAACATTGAGACTGCTAGACATTAAGATTTCTAATTCCATGAACTACTCACCTCTGGCTGAATGGCTTTAAAAACCGGCATATCCATTAGTGTTATCTGACCCTGCAAGAGAGAGCCCAGAGGTTTAAGCCTGAAGACTATCCTCAGCAAGCAAGTAAACAGGAATCACTGAATTGAAGATGATGTATGTTTAAACATATTAGCAGCATATGATCCACTGATGTTATGTTTCCCCCCTGGGGTTCAACTGACATGTTTATACTGAGGTACAGGAGACTATGAAAAGATTAAGTAAGCAGAACAGGTCCTGCTGGCAGGGAACATTCATATTACACACTTGGAACAAGGTCAGACTGAGTTTATTGAAAAGCATATAATATTTATGATCTAGAAACCATGCTGACAATACACATCAGGTGATATACTGTATACAATGCATGCAGCCTCTGCTTCTCGGTGACCCCTAGAATGTTTGTCACACCTTTCAGATAGGATCAAAGATGTCAGGAGCTTTAAGGGTTAGTTCACTTTTGTAAGAAAATAGTCTATACAGTTCACAAGCTAAGCAGTGGCGGCAGAGGGAGAGGCTCTGAAAGAGAACAGTGCTCGCTCCTGTGATGCTGGGGCCAAAACTGCTAGCTTGTCCTGGCAGGAGGACAGCTTTGAACTCAAACAATATTGGGATTTTTTCAAGCTGGCTTTACTGGTGGGTGCAGATGACCTACAGGTATGACAGACACATTGATAAAGATTTTTATAAGCTGCCAAGTTTATTGTTAACTAGTGGGGGGGCTTGTGGACTGCAGAGGCTATTTTGTTACAAAAAAGTGAACTGACCCTTTAATATTCAGAGACAACTCTGCTGTGCTGATGGCCCTTCTCCAAAAAGGAGCAGTATGATATCTGGAAATTCAACAGTAACATGAGGTTACCTAATATTAGTCTGTCAACATCCAGATTTTAAACCCAATTACTGTGACCAAGTTAGGCATTTAAACTCAACTTACCTGTTTATAAACCGAGAGCCAGAAGAAATACCCCTGACAAAGTGTGATTGCACATAAAACAGGTTGGACGGTTATGCCAACTACTTGCTCAGTAAGTGCAGTGTCTAAAACAATGAATATATGGTGCAGCAATCCTCATGGCTCCAAGAAATTCTCTGTTTATTCCTCTGTGATGAAATACTGCAGTAATCTGTGCTTTCATTTTTCTCCTGGCTCATTGGTAACTATAGAGGTCTAGTAGCATGTGCACCTTACAACAGCATGCGACAATAGGGTTGGCTTAAGGACTGCAGAGCCCCAATGTAGGTTAAGAAACTTGCATACTTCTCACATACATGTTCCCAATACTCATCTTCTTAGCTACAGGATCCATGTTTGGGATCTGCATTGCACATAAGAAATTTTCTTTAGACATGATTAATAACTCACAACATATAAGCCAGAGTCGTGCAATCTGAGAAGCACCTCAACCCCTCTTATTAGCCGATCATTACACAAAACATAGTACTAGGGGTTTAAAGAGGCGCACACCATTGCATAAGTTAATAAAAGGAATATTATTTATTTGAAGTACACAAAGTTATATAAAGGTTGTAGACCTAAAAATTAAAAACCCTAACAAAGGCCACATTCAGTCCTTCCTTATTTTGCAGCCAGATCTGGATCCAGAGCCATCACAGTGCTGGCCCTAAGCTGAAGGAGGAAACAGATCAGCCTACGAGTTGGTAGGGGGAACGCACAGCTTGACTGAGATGGCATACCTGCTCTAATAGGGAGACAATACATGGCAATAAAAGCACTAATACCTTACCATGAGAGGTAAGGCTAAACTATAATAACAATTTAAGAGTAAACCTCCCTACACATCCCCATTTCTTATGGTTTCTTTTCTTTAAAAGGTGCACCCAACCTCAATAATGAAGTGATGCAATATCATACAGCTCTACTGATTACTCATGCAGAATATATTACATAAGCAGCAAGCTGGTAATAAAAAGTCTTTCCACCTACGAAAGTATATTATGCACATTCTTGCTGGGTCCCCTACTAGTTAGTAAGAACCTGACTGCTCACAGCTTTTCATGGAAACTGTTTAGGGACAGCTGCTGACAGGGAGAGAGTCAGAGTTAATGTCTTTAAATCTGACCGCTGTTGTCTAGAGCTGATAATCATTTAGTCAGTAACCCTTATGAGAGCATTAGATCACCTTCTAAGGTAACTTTGAAGCTCATGTGCACCCTCAAAAATGTATTACACTTGTATTTGTCTGGTCAGAAGTACTTAAAGTGTATCTAAATCCAAAAAGAAAAATGTAATATATTGCAGCTTACTAGTCCTTAGATGAGTTAGCTGCATATTCTGCCTGTCCATGGGTGGCTACACACATTCCTTCATTGTATCTATGGAGGGGAGTCATGGTGGTCACCAAGGCTGGACTTCCAACATGTCTGCCTTTGATCACCTCTATGACATGGGAGATGGGAAAATAAGTATTTTAAAGAGGAAAGATTACTTTAGCCCACAGGAAGCGACAAGGTCACAGCATTTCTGGCAAGATCAGCAGGTATTTTTGTACTTTCTGAAAATGTTCTTAGCCTGAAAAGTGAAAACCAATGCATCCATCAAGGACTGGAAAGCTGAAATACATTTAGTTTTTGTTCTTGTGTTTAGTTATTCAAAAAGCACAAATTTAGCGAATACTTTGTCAGATCTTTTTTTTCTTTCTATCATTGCTGTCCCTTCTGGGAATATTACCGCGTTCTTCCATTACCAGACACAATATACCAAGAGGAAATCTCCCCAAAGATTGGAGGCAAAATCCCACCATGGACAGTTGTCATTAAAACCAGTGTTCCCATTTGGGATATTTCTCTGTTCTGTTCTATGGGCCACTATCAGATTTAAGAGGTTGCAACATGCTCCCACTTTATTAAAAAAAAAAAAGTTTCAGATAGGAAGCTTATTCAAATGAATGGCCTGTCTTTACATTAAAGTGCTATATACCGTGCATTAAAAACACACCACGATGGTGTGAATGGCCCCTTAAATGTTTGGCTGAGAAATAAGCCAAGAACAACCCCTTAGAGATTTTTAGAGAATAAAGTTGCAATCGGTCACTGGTATGAATACCTTGGAGTACAGTATTCAAAATCACATATCCAGTGGATTATGCTTATATAGTTTATTGCGAAGTGTCATGGAAAAAAAGGGGGGGATATGTGGAATATGGACAATCTGGCACCAGCTAACATTTCAAGTTGAAACTAGCTCATTTTAAAACAGTATCAGTTTCAATAGAAAATACAGACCCCAGGCTAAAAGATGTTTAAAACAGTCTAAATCAATTACCAAAACAGTCTAAACCAATTACCAAGCAAACTCACATATTTAAAGTGCAGCACATTAATCTTCACCTACTCCCAGGCAGGTGGGAGTGTAATGGATTTCAGATTAATACAGTAGCTGCAGCACAGAAGGGGTGCTGTTCATTTATTTTCCATAACACTAAATAAATCACATTTAATAGGAGAGAAGTCAGACTACAGCGCTATCAAACCAAAAACATGCACTTACGGCATATTCCTCTGGAGTGACCATGAGGACGTCAAACACGACAGCATCAAAGCTTTTCTTTAGGGCAGCTGAATCTTTATCACTCAGGGATTCTGAGCTGCTGCTTTTCTGTCAAAAAAAGAAAGCACATTAGTCAGCGCAGTCTCATGAATGGAGCTTATAACTAGATGAAATCCTCAAGGTAATGCATACAGAAAACTAGATTTCTGGAATGGTAAATTTGCAAAACTGTGGATGCCCACCCAATGATCTCTGGCTCTCCCACATGGTAGAAGTGAGACAAGGAAACATTTAAAAGTGGAAGTATAGCGTTATCAATGTGTACATATTTTTTGACTACGCTGCATACTTACTACGCTGTTTACCTTAAAGTGTATTTCCACTTTTGAAGCCAAATTGGGATATCACCTACTCTTTATTTGTTATATGTTCTCATTAATATAACATAAGCTAAAAAAAAAAAAATGTAAATTGCTAAATTTTTTCACGCCTCTGAAAACTATAAAACTGAGTTTCCCTCTGCTATGCAAAAGGGCCGAGAGTTCATGTTTAGCATAATTAAGCCCATCTGTACTGTGCTGGCAGATCGCATTATTCATTGTAAACTAGACCTGAACTCCGTCTGCCATAAAGGATTATAGATCTAGAAGCCTAAATTCTGCTTTGTATGTTGATGAGGGAAAATTCCCTCTACTCCCACTGTGTCTGGGGACAGACTCACTGTGAAATCATTAAGAGTAGCTTGCAGTCTGCCCAAAGGGCTACTCCAAAGAAACATCTCAAAAAGTAAGAAATATCGTTATTTTTAGATATGCTGTGTAAATAGGAACACAAACACAGTTGCCAGTGGGAGCAAGGAAATATGAGCTGCAATTTCAGTGCCTCTTATTGTATATACTAGACTTTGTCCACAGTGCCTACAGCTACAGAGGTCAGAGAGGGCTTGTTATAAAGCTCAGTTACTGCTTGTTATAAATATATAAAAGTTTCAATGTCTATAGCCTGGCCACAGGATTATCTTAAATGTTATTTCTTATGAATTTCAGTTTCCCATATGTGTTATTACGTATATTTGTTCAATGACTCTGGTAAATGACTTTATATTAATGGAGGACCAACAAAGCTTTATTCACAGGATGGATGAATATTGTGGTTACATGAACTTCTGCTATTTATGAACTATTGATGCTTGTTAGCATCTAAAACACTGATAAAATACTTGATTGTGCATGGTTTGTTGCATTTGGTGTACAGTTATAGTTATAGTTACAGGTGGAAGTAAAAAAAAAAAAAAAGGGTGGTGTGCGATATAGTGAAATGGAAAGTTTAAAATTATACAGCAATCAATGCAGAATGGCACCGGCTATAGAGGACTACAAATCCCAGCAATAGTACATTATACAGCGCAATGCAGAATATCACCAGCTATAGAGGAGCAGAACAAATCCCAGCAATAGTACATTATAGCTGGCGGTATTCTGCATTGCGCTGTATAATGTATTATTGCTGGGATTTGTAGTCCTCAATACAGCGCAATGCAGAATACCACCAACTATAGAGGAGTACAACAAATCCCAGCAATACATTATACATACAGTGTATAATGTATTGCTGGGATTTGTATTCCTATGTATAATCTACAGCGCAATGTACCATCAGCTATAGATGAATACAAATCCCAGCAATACATTATAGAGCATCATGTGTGGGAAAGTGCAGGATTACCTGAGCAGTCTTCCAGCAACTTGCTCCTAAGATCAGGCCTGTCTATCGGTGGCTGTCATCCCCCCACACCTCCTCCTCCTTACTACATCTCCCCGCGTCCCTGTGCCGATCGTGGATGTGGGCGGGTGGTGAGTGTGAGGCGGGAAGGAGGTGCGGCGTGTAGAGCGTGGATGCGGGCCTGCCAGCGGTGAGCGTGAGTTGGGGAGGAGGTGCGGCGCGCAGCGTGTGTGGAGTCGTGAACAGGGCCAACTGATCGGAAGCCGATTAAATCGATTGAAAAAGTTGACAACTTTTTCAATAATCGATTATAATCGATTATGTCGATTAGTTGTTGCAGCCCTAAACTGTGCGCAAATGTACCTGGGAGAAGGAATGCAGTTTTAAAAAATGCAAATGGTGGACACACCAGGCAAGAAATATTAAGAGCTGATAAGCTTGGTAGGCAATCTCCGATCCATGGATCACAGAGAAGAGTTCCTTAACATAAGGAAAATGTTCTATAAGGAATTAGATGAGCAAATCTGAAAAACTAGTAGGGAAAATTTGTTCCCAGGACTCCACTTTTACCATTGTAAAAATAATAGTATGTGACAGAAGGTGCAAGAGAATTGGGAGGTGGAACCATTCTGAACTTGAATAAACTGTAAGGTAGGAAAGCTACCAGAGTAGAATCTGCTAGCATAAGAATGTTTGAAAATAAAAGGTCAAGAATAGAAGCCACAGGGAAAACCCAGGTGTGCATTCTTGCAGAAAATAGAAAAAAAACAAACCTTTCAATAAAGTCAACAAAAAACGGCAAAAAATAAAAGTGAACAAGTGGGAGAACTGTTTATTCCAATAAGGGAAAATATGATCTGGCGCAAGTCATTCCAAGAAGGGAAAATATGATCTGGCGCAAGTCATTCCAAGAAGGGAAAATATAATGTGGCGCAAGTCACAAGTGAAGGGGAGTTTTAAATCTTCCCTTAGATCATTTTGTAGATAAGAGGGTACAAGAAAGGTCCAAGAGTCCACAGAAACAGAAAAGACTGTGTACTTGGATCATCAAAATGTTCCTATATGCCCAAGGACGTTTGTACAGCGTTAACCAGGTTGGGAAGTCCAACCTGGTTAATGCTTACTGTTGACAAGTCCCACAACAAAGTGCATGTGGGACTTGTCAACAGCACAATTAAATACAGTATAAAGCTGGCCATACACCTTACAATTATCTGCAGATTTTCTGTGGTCAGATGGAAAAAGTGCAACAGATTCCTCCATCTACACTTAACTGTGTGGATGGAGTAATCTCCACCTGGGCCAATCTGTTGCACTTTTTCCATCTGACCACAGAAAATCTGCAGATAATTGTAAGGTGTATGGGCACCTTAAGCTGGGGTAGATAAACTCCTGAAAATGGGATAGCCATATGGGCTTCAGGTACCTCAACAGGTGTAGGCCCAATAGGGACCGAACTAAATTCTGCCATAAGTGTAGCGAGGATGTGGGTCAAGGACCCTAGCTGACGAAAAAACAAATAGTGGTAGAAACACGAGGCCTAGTAGACCAACCATGGGTATCAGGCTCTGGCAGTGAAGCTGTAGAAGCTGGAGATAAGGACAAACCTATAGGAACAGGTGTCCTAGGATCTACAATGCCAGAATCAAGCTCCTGTGGAAGTGCTTGAAAACACTCCTAGATGTAGCAGGGAAGTTCGGTCATTGGTAACTGTAGAACTGTCCTCCGCCTATGTAATAGACATGTTGCCTTAATCTGTAGACTCAATTAACTGAAGGAAGCAACGTCTAGCATACCTACAACCTGGACAGAAGGTGCAGGCGAGGATTGCAGGTGGCTGGAAGTGATTGATGACCAAAAGTAAAGGGAACAGCAAAGGGTGGAACATGTAATGTGTGTGTGAACAACACTATTCCTAGTGACTGTCGTCAACACAGAGTATCTTAGGCTGAACTTTTATACCAGAAACAATGGGGAAGTGAATAATAAAAAAAAAATAAAAATCCACTTATAGAATGAGAGGTTTTAAACTGCCTATTCTGAGTTGCAGATAAGGGTGCAGGATCAGCTAAAATCTGTTCCACCGTCTAAAGACTGGATAGTAAATCTACCTGTCGTAACTACACAACAGTGATAAGGGACATGTGGTAGAACCCAGTTCGAAGTGCAGTACATAGCAATATAAGAAACCTCAAATAAAACTCAGTGGAGTGAGTAAAGGGCCATTGTGCAAAACATTGGAAAAGCAGTGGAGACAGTGCATACAGGCCTGAGACCACATCCTTGCAAACCGCATTAAAAGAAGATATTTACAAGAGTAAGTCCCAGATGAAGCTCACTGTAAAGTAAGAGAAACCATGATAAGAGCATTCCATACCCAGAGGGAGTGACTGCTATATAGAGTTCAGAGCCTATAGGGGGGCAGAACTTAATATCTGCATTGTACCAAAGGGTTAGGTATAGAACGATATAGCAGAGCCAGGAACACAGAGGATGCTATGAAACCAGAGTGTACTAGGGAGTGATGTATTAACATTTACACAATGAGAGTTCAGAGACTATACCCGCAAATACAATCACTGTTCTGAGACTCAAGCACACCCTACAGCTAACTGACAAAAAACTGGATATACCTGAGGTAGTACCTCTGCTCTAATAATAAGAACACTCTTGGCTAACAGAGCCAGGCACATGAGTCTGGAAAATAGTATAATGTGGAGCAAAGTGTAAAGGAAACATACAAGGATGCCTTCATAATTTCCTGAGATGTATGACACAGGAAAATATTACAGACTGGGTATACTGCAGGTAGTACCTCTGCTCCAATAATGACAGTGCTGTTGACTCAGGCAGAGTATGGAAAATAACAAAATGTAAAGCACAGTATGCAAAGCGAAAATGCAAGACTGACTCCAAGGCAGTGCCAAGTATAAAGCTGGCCATACACCTTACAATTATCTGCAGATTTTCTGTGGTCAGATGGAAAAAGTGCAACAGATTGGCCCAGGTGGCGATTACTCCATCCACACAGTTAAGTGTAGATGGAGGAATCTGTTGCACCTTTTCCATCTGACCACAGAAAATCTGCAGATAATTGTAGTGTATGGCCAGCTTTAAGGTGCCCATACACTGTGCGAGTATCGCACGATAATCGTGGGAAATCCCGCGATCGTACGATAATCGCAAAGTGTATGGAAGACGTGCAACCGTTTTTACTGTACGGTCGCACGTCTTTTGTCTAGGGAGCACACTAGAAAACCAGCCGAGAATCGTACGATTTTCGGCTGGTTTGAACGGTGCTCGGGAGACAAATGCCGAACGGGCCGTTGTGCGCACGCGCACACTGCCCGTTCAGCATTGCAGTCATCGGAAGCCCGCCCCTCAGG